TACTGCGCCCTCTGGATGCTCGGTTGCGGTAGGTGAGCAAACGCGTGGGATTAGTGCACTTCTGGAGAACCATGTGCAGGAGGACATTTCATGCTGACGATAACCAACATGACGATGATGATGGTGATGACGATGATGATGACGATGAAGATGGTGGTGATGATTATGACTATTGTTATTGTGATGGTGATGAGGAGGGGATGATGATGATGATGCTCGGTCATGGTGAAGGCGAAGGTGAGGGTGATTCTGATGGTGGTGATGGAATGAAGACCACCTTAACCGTTATCATCAACATCCACACACAATCGACAACACAACACTAACAGGAAGAATCGATCGTTCTCGCAGAATAGAGTACAGCAGAGAATTGACTTGGAAACAAACCTGCCAGCCTCGGGGCCGGGAGCCTCCACATGGTGACCGAACTTCCTCAAGGACAACAGCAAAGCCCTCAACTGAACTCTGGCAAGGCCAAGCTCAGTCAAGCATCTTGAGGCCGGCCAGGGGAGTCACAACGGGAACCGGCCAAGCCTCGCAGCACAGCCCCGCCTGAGCCCTTGTTTGCGGTCCCTAGGCCCTAGGTCCCACAGGCCCCAGCGGCCTCATAATTGCCAAGAATGCTCCGTGTGGCATTTCGCAGAGGGCCGAGAACAGCAACTCGCTGCTCTGCGGACAGCGGCAGCCTGGACAAATCTGGACAAGAGACTGTTAGCGACGGTTCCCCAAGTCTTGCAGCAACTGCCCAGCCAGGGAACATGTGGCCCTCGTTCTTGAGCAGCACAGCCCCTTGGAGGGCAGCCTCCATCCTTACGCGGGCGATGGAATCCGAGCAGGGAGCAGGGGGTATTTTCATCCAAGCCACGCTAGCTCCACATGTCCGGCCGAGGCCTGCAAGCTCCGATCTCTCAGCGGAGTCGTTGCAAGACCGTCGCAAGACAGAAATGCCTTCTCCCAGCTGTCCGGGATGTCAGCGGGCGGTGGGTCAAACCTAGTTTGGTGCAGAGACGCTCAGACACAGACAGGAAGATCGAGTCAGCTCGAGCTCATCTCGCCAGGTCACTCGCCGAGGAGGAAACGAACCCGAAGTGCATTCTTGACTGCCTCCGTCAGAAGTGGCTCCATAGATGCATTGGCATAGTCTCGGAAGAAGCCTGCACATAGCACCCAAACTGAAATACACCGAAGTCGCAAGGCTTCAAAGGCCTGGGCTGCAAGCCACATCGGTGCCAGCCGCCAAAGCGGCTTCAATGTTCTCGGCCGGGGTGTCGCGGTACCGTTGCAAAGAATACATGTCCTCCGATTCAGTATTGCAAGTAAGAGTCGAGGCATTGCCTGGCTACCGGCTGATCACCAATACCAAGCCACTGCAATGGAGTCGCAATCTGTGACAATCATGCCACCTCGTCATCACGGAGCACAGCAAACAAGGGGCGACAGGGTGTGTAGCAAGCGATTGCATTCACCAGCTAATCTGCCCAGGTGCGAAATCCCCATTCCTCGCGAAGCTTGCTTCGAAGAAGCTCGCTGCTGGCGCAGGAGGGAATACCGTTGACCTTCCAGGGCCGAAAGATGCAAAAAGGTGACACCCGAAGCGCCTGCATGCGTCTGCCATTCTTCAGCCCAGGTTCCTGGTTGTAAGCGCACATCGAGCCCAGAGCTCCCGCCCGAGCGCAGGCCTCCCCCACCCAGGCGCGAAAAGGCTCCGGACTTCGGCGCGCAAAGGGGGGTGCAAGTGGCGCTCTACGAGTCTACGCCGCTACGCACCTCAAAGGCTGGAAAGTAAGACTCTGTCAGGTCCTGCGGCGAGACCACGGCATTCCTGATGTGACGGTGATCTGAACTGAGGTAAAGCTATGTGAAGCTAAGAGGCTGCGAGAAACACACCATCTATGGCCTACAACCTTCTGAGAGCTTATGGTGCAGACTCGGGTCTCGTTGTGCCGGCTGACATTGGAAGCACCCGGGATGAAGTGACGCATGTGCTCTGTCTTGTTCAGTTGCGTAGGACCGCCTTCAAAAGAGTAGGCCGCGAAGTGCTTGCCTCGGGGATAGGGTCGAACAAGCTACTTACAGAAACATATACTGGCTCTGTATATCTCAACAGAAGATTTTACAATCAGCTGCCAATCACTGGCACAGCCGCAGGATGCCGCAGCTTGTGGAATCCCCTCTCCGACCAGGCTCTGAATGCCAGATACCTCTTATGCACAGGCCATGGAGTGAATGAACAAAGCTGGTGCCCAGTTCGTCAAAGTTGCGTAGCTGGCTGCGAACCTTGGAGCAACAGCCAAGACTCCGAAAGCTGCAGGGCCACCGAAAGCTGCGCTTGTCCGACACTACGTTCCCCCCCCCCCGGCCGTGCAACCCACCCATGACCGAGCGATGGGCTTGTTCCGGGCTGGATGGTGGCTTTAATGTGGCTTTCTACATCATGTATATGCATGTCGGCAATCCATCTGTGAGCAACGACTCACTACGGAGTCCCAAAGTGTCGGTGGGCTGCAGAGAAAAGGGTTTGCGCTAACCGAGCTCGAATGGCCGGACGACGATTTCTTCACAGGAGTCATCTCCCGTTGTGAGGAGATAACTTTGTGCAGGTGCCAAGTTCGTGACGGGCTCTGATGGCTGCTGGGTAGCGGACTGCGCGGACAGATAAGGGTCTTCACCCGGAGTCTCCTGCAATTGACCGGTTGCTGTGTCCAACAAGTGTGCAAGCGACCATGTGGGCAGCTCAACCTGCTGGTGCAGAAAACAACTGGCATTGAAGAACTCTTCTCAGCACTGCGCGCCTGACCACGCCCCCAGCGAGGATCGCGGAAAATGTTGATGTTGAACTGCAGCAGCAGTCCTGTCAGCCGTCCTGGCACAAACCGTTGCTGCCCAGGTCAACGTGAAGGCCGAGCCTCCAGCATGGCCTTTCCAGTCGCCGTAGCGCAGGCCGTTCTCTCGAAGAAAGCGAGCTTCTCTGCCAACTGCTTGGCCGACGGACTTGAAGAGGCTCCTGAAAAGCTTCAGAATTTGCAACGCGCTCTGTCTCAACCCTTGGCACACTCCTGTTGAAGGAGGCTGCCATGGTCACAACTTGAGGGAAGGATGTCGGCTCGGGAGTGCTGCCTGACAGAGGCGGCACAGCACCGAGCTTTGAGGAAGCGGCTGGCGCCTCGCAGCAGAAGACCGTGGGCTGCCTCCTTGATGTAGTTGTAGCCCCCCAGGCCCAGCCGCTCCTTACACTTCGCAGCATTGCGGAAACCCCCTAAGCGCCCAAGTCTCCTAAAGCCAGGGAAGCCGTGAGCCACTTAAGCTTCCAAAGACAATGATCCCACTGAACGTCCCCGACAGCAGAATGGCTGTCGTTTGGGCTCACATTACGGGGCACCAGACAAGCCGACAGAGCTGTAGATGCATAGTCCATGTGCGGCCGGGCATTGAACACAAGATTCTGATTCGAGCAGTTTATGGTGGCTGCATTTTCGGGTGTAGGGACAGAATTGAGCTCCAGAGTTGTGGAAACCCGGGCCAAACGCGTTTAGCAGGCCTCGGAAAATGCATTGGGGGTGGTCAATCTAAGCACGTTTTCCAAGCCTTGCAAAAGCGTTTTCCAAGCCTTGAAAGACGAATTTTGGGGCCTGGAAACCAAACGGAAAGCATTTGCAGTACGATGTTCAGGTTTAGGGACGGCATTGTGCTCCAGATTGCATTTCAGAGCTCAATTCTGGCCTCGGGAGTGGGGCCACGGGCACCGCCGAGGGCACTGGCAAAGGTGAAACACTCTAAATATGATTTCAAGTGACTGAAAAATACATTTCGGAGCCTGGAAACCAAATTAAAGCATGTTCGGCGCGATCTTCAAGTGCAGGGACGGCATTGAGCTCCAGATTTGTTGCTTGTTCGGAGACCCCAAGCCTGGAAAAATGCCTTTTTGGAGCCTCGGAAGCTAAACTTAAAGCATGCGCAATACGATCTTTCGAAGGCCAAATGCGTTTAGCCTACATGCGTTTTCTAAGGCTTGAAAAATGCATTTTCAAGCTCTGGAAACAAAATTACAGCATTTGCAATACGATTTTCGGATGAAGTGACGGCATTGAGCTTGCTTCAGAACCTGCCCGAAACCTCGCCCTGGAACCTGCCCGGAACTGGCCCCGGAACCCACCCGAAACCTGCCCCAGGCCTTGCCCCGATCTGCCCCAAGCCTTATTTTGAAGACCCCAGAGCTCAAGCTTTTGGGGAATAAAAACTCATGTAATGAAAATCAGACATAGAAATGACCACATGGAGCACTTACACTGAAAAGTCCAAGGTCGACTGATGGAACGCCGCCGAAGAGGTCGTTGCTGAGTTGCAGAATCCTCAGCTTCACGGCTTCGGAAGCGTTGTCTGAAGGGTGTGCAGCAAAGGAAATGCCCTTCAAGTCCTAGGCGCTTCTCCTCCACGGTAAGCTGTGCCACCAAGTCTTCCAAGCGGCTTTCAACCGGACCTGGATCCTTATTATAACAGCTTCCAAGTCAGCCTGTCCTCGGGGATCTCTGGTCTGCAATCTAGTCTCACACCAGGAATGGCTGCATCGCCTTACTGGCTCCGAATCCTCTGCCAGCTCGAAGAAGGGCGCCTGCAGCTCTGTCCCACAGGGTGCTTGGCTTCGCATCCGAAGCCGCGCCTCCTTTGCAATTCCCAAGCGTACCCCGCAAGCCAAGAGGAGGACTGCGCTCAGCATCTCGAAGGGCGCAAACAGGGCCACGATGTAACGTCTGCTCTAAGGCTGCAAACTAACCTCTGACTCTGCGAAGCCACGGTAATGAACTGCGTGCTATCCGTGCTCAGCAGGCTACAACCGCTGGATAGCTCCTTTTCTGAGCCAGTCGTAAGTCCACGGACAAAAAAACAAACACAAAATGCAGGCACATGCCTTGAAACCTAAGCATACCAACACAAAGACTTTTCAAAGGACCGCTGGCACATGGCCCGACCTTCAAGCTGTCTGCAGGATCTCAGGCACCGGCGAAGTTGATGCGACCGCTTGTGCCGGCTGCTCCTCCAGCCCCTGCTGCATTGCAACAAACAGCTGCTGCAAAGCAGCTCTCTTCTTCCTTCGAAAATCTTGTGCCGATACTGCTCGGACAGCTTTTGACCGACCTTCGGAGCTTTTGGCGCTCTCTCTTTCTTCTCGACCTTGTCCAGCAACTGGCCCTTGCAGGCCACGCGGCTTGCCGAGGCGCGACTTTTTGCGCTGCTCCTCTGCCTGAAATGACCGGTCTCACTGGCTGGAACATTGGCGTGCTCTCAAGCACAGTCTCACAGCGCCTTGTCCGCCGAACTGCCAAGAGAATGCCACCAGTTGCTGAGACTGCCAAGACGTGTGTGCCCTCAGGCGATGGCGGTGTTTGGATTTGGGGCTTGGTCGCAGAAGCTTACGATGCGAGACTTCCAGGGCCCCGACTCCCAGCCCGGATGCTGTTGACGCCGATGCGGAACGGGGTGCCTGTTTGCCGCAGGTCTGCAGATGTCTGCAGAACATAGCTACACATCAACATCCTTTGCTTCCACAAGGTTTCTGCAACTGCAGTTCCTACTTGCTGGTTGAACTCCTTGACAGCAGAGATCGCCTTCAAGGGTGTCGTCGGAGCGGCCGGCGGTGCGGCACTGACAAACCCCAGCGCTGCCATGCTGGGTGGATGTTTTCGTGCGTAAGGACTTGTCACGTGGCAAAGTCGGCTAGTAGATAACATGCTCCCTGCTGAACCGTGGGCATAGACTTTCATCTGCAAATGTGGTCTCTCTTGGTCAGGCTATCTGGGACCTCTGTTCTTGAAAAGTTTCTGCTGCGTGGTACACGCGCCAATGTGCCAGCAGGCTGCCTCACATCGTAGCTTGGAGAGATGTGCGGCGGGCAAGAAGATATACGATGATATACGTAAGTCATAGAATGGCCCGGAAACCTTCATTGCACAAGCTCATCAGCCCTCTCACAACACCAGTATTTCGATCATTTTGTATACATGATTCTCATGTCTTGCTTTTGAACAACTACCAGAATTGATTCAACCACGACTAACATGCGCGCATGAATGCACTATTTTCGTGCCGCTTCCATGTGCAGGAGTCACCACTTTGGCTTTTTCATCGATTACATGTACCAAAACCGCAATTGCGCAGGCAGCTCCTGTGCAGGAGTCTAGAAACGGTGACTCCACCGCGATCCCCCAACGCCCGACCACCATGGCCCTCAGCCCGGCGCGGCACCATTGTCACAACAAGGACTCCTCCCCGCATTTCCCTCCCCGACCGACCTGCTGTGGCTTGACACTTTCACCGCCTAGGGCCTGGGCCTAGTCCGCGGGTGTCTAAACTTTGTTCTTGCCCCGCCCCTCAACGGTGGCAGCTAGGAGGTGCTCCTGGGACAGTTCTTGGGCATGTAGGGCTTGGAATGGGTTCTGTAGGTGTTCTTCCGTGGTGCATTGTTTACACTTTCACTGGCCCCCGTGTATTCTTTGGCATTTTCACGACATGTGAAGCAGTCACCTACACTTCTTCCCACCCGTTCCCTTGCACCTGGCTGCCCGTGTGGGAATCACATTTTGACTCGATCACGTGCTTGACGTGCCAAAAACCGCCATTCCGGTGCGGCTGCCCCCCCACAATAATTCTTTTGGCACGCTCACCGCCTAATGACATGTGGCAAACTGGTGATTTCCCATCTCCAACTCCACCAACCAATCTCAAACCCCTCCACCCCAGCGAGGAAGTCACCACAGGGTGGCTAACCCTGTTCAGCAAGTGTTGGTTGCAAGCGAACGACCCTCGATCACGTGCCAACTCCGAATCATGAAATCTGGGGCGCTTACCATTGCTAAAGAGAGTTCTGTCATTGTGGGCTTGTGTTATGGTAGGAACCTGCTTCTTTTTCGGGCATCGCAATCCACAGCTCACTTCGCCGATGGACTTGCTGCCTGACAGTGCGGCTTTCGTCTGTTGTGCAGCAGACTGGTGAGCTACATGCCAGAACTCGTGTCAATATCAATCACAGTCATGTAGGTCACTTGTGGCGGCAGTTCTGTCTGCATTCTGCTTCAAGCCTGCTGCCTCGTTGCATTTCTACGAGAAGAATGATGGCGGCAACCATCCTGGCAGACTTCCGTCAGCAAACATGACAAAAGTTGCATCGTCTTGTGCTGGCCTGACACAAACAAGACGAGCCCACTGGCAAGACCAAAGCGATCTTCACTTAAGGTCTGGCTGTTCCCTCCTGCCAGCGCCGCAAAGAGATCCCTCTGTCGAGCTCCAGGGTGCGCTTCAATTCCCAGGCGGTGTGCTCCTGGAGGAGGCGATGAGGGTGGCGGCAAAGGCGGTGAAGCGAAGGCCTCTTCCAGAAGAAGCGCTGAATTCGCGGGTCGTTCTAGCTCCAAGCTGGCCTTTGTTTCCCAGCGAAGCCTTGGCCCTGAGGATGTCGGCGGTGCAGACGAGACCATGGCCTCTGAGAGTTGGTCGCCAGTGGCGACAAGCTACACTGGCTTTAGGTCCAGATCGCAAATAGCTCTGAGCAGCGGGCTGCGGCGATCGCTTTGACCTGTGGCTCGCTTGGTACCGGGTCCTGCACTCGCTGCACGAGTGTTTTGCATGCGACCAGAGAAGACGAGAAACAGACAACATTTGCTCTCCAGGATTGAGACGCTTCTCCTCATCTTGCTCTGCTAACTGGTGCAGCGCTTTTGACGCCTGACAACTTTCACAGGCGAATGGACTGCGAAGCGAAAGAAATGTTGAAATCCTGGGCTTCAACGAGCAGTCTTGCCATACCTTGCAGTATCTGGCTGGTTAAGGGCCCGAAGCTATCGGTAGTATGCAAGACGCAAACACAACATTAAACATGCAGGATGTATGGAAAGAACATAATGTGACGTGCAATGCCCGCGATCTGCGATTTGTATCAACTGGTTGCTTGTCCCCAGGAAGTAGCAGAGTGAGACAAACACATGGATGGAAAAACCTTGAATAGGAGAGAGTCGGCGGTACTGGGGCTTGAAATCTGCAGCTAAAGCACGGAGCAGCACCCCACCCTCCCCCGATCTTCTGCCTTGCACGACTTACATCGAGAGCAAGATTCTGCCCACCAAACCGGACTGTTGCTTCTGCTGCCTGCAATTCCGGCCCTCCCCATTGACTAACATCCACGTCATCCACTACCTAGCTGGACTAGCCAGTCCTATCAAGCGGGAGTCTGGAAGGAGGCGATGGCGGCCGGGCAGAACGGACCACACGGATGTCCATTTTCCTGACTTCGAAATCTTTTTGAGCCAGGGCCGCCTGAGCCTGATTTAAGGCCACTGCCTACTACGCCTCGTCACACTCCAGCTTCGGGGGTTTCTTGAGGGACTTTGCAAATCAAAGGCCAGAAAACCTCGATAGCGGTTTAAAACCTTCCCAGGCCATGGCAAGAGAAAATGATGCTTGCTGTTGTCACACTCACCGCCGTGGGATGTAGTAACACTGAAACTTCATTCTTGCTGCATAAGTTTCAAACTGTCCTCACACTTGGTTTAAGTCCAGGTCTGCGAGTTCCAGGTAACGAAGCACCACGGCAATGGCAGCTCCGGATGCCTCCTGCGCGCTCCGACGCCGCTCTTCCTGCGACTGCCACAACCATCCGCGATGTCAAGAAAAGACTCTCTGAGGCAGGTCCAATTGTCAAGAGCAAGCCCAGCCTCACTGGCTTGACGGCGTCGCTCTTCGGCCTACTGTGTGATTCGAGGTGTGCCGGGACGACACCGGTGCTAATGCAGATCAGGCAAGCTAACATAACCAGGACCGTCCATGCTTAAAGAAGTCTCACAAAGCTTGTTCCACATGCTCCATGGGCAAACGAGGCCTCAGCGGCTTCAGCTGCCTCGAGAAAGGCAAGCTGCAAGCTATGCGGCAGCGCACCATGTGCAAGCCCTGCAGACTGTATTTGCCGGCTTAGCTTCGCGCTCGGGACATGCGCACCTTGTTCTCCCGAGCTGCCTTGCATTACAACGTTAGGGACGTGCTCGGAACTGGAAGGGATCGCGCTCCCTTTCCGTGACCTCGGCGGCTTCGCGTTCCAATCGTGTGTACTCCTCCTCCTCGGCCTTCTTCTGTGCCTGCAATCAATTTCCTTGGCTTCGGCACACGGACATCTCTGCATCCTCGCCTCTCGGCTGTTCTCATTGTCAAACTCATTCTTGTCGATGTCCTGAGTCTTGGTCCGGTGTCTCTTGACTTTGGCTTTCCAGTTCGGTCCTCCACACGACTGAAGGCCTTTCGTCTCTTTTGCATGTGCCTCAAAAATGCAGGCAGCAATTCAGCAGCACAGGACTTCTCGAACACAGAGCATCCACGTGCCCGCCACGTCTCAAACAGGTCGATTAGCCTCCACAGATCTTCTCTGGAGTAGATCTCGCTGAGGACGTTTCGGAAGAGCTGCTTTACCTACGACAACCGTGAAGCACGAAACTGTTTGCTATGGATGTTGGTGTCTCGACCTTCTTCAAGTCATAGGCGGAAAGCTCGAAGTAGGAGATGTTGCTGTCTTTGGCGTATCTGCGAGCTTCAGTACTGCGAGGCCGCTTCTACCAGGGAAACCTCAGTCTACCTGTCGGTGCTGCCTTTGCGCCGCACGACGCTGCTCTCCATCTTGCAAGGAAATAGAAGACAAGAAAGAGCTTCCGACCGACAGTCATGTCTAACGCCTGCGACATCCGCATCCAAACGGCTCGCTACCAAACACACCACAGGTCCTCAGATGACGAGGACATTACTTTCTTTTACAGCGTGTGATGGGCATGCTCTGCCGCACAGTTGCTCGTGACAGCATCGATGTCCAGTCTCAAGGCATTGTGAAGGTCTTGTGCCTGCCCCGGAACTTCGCATCGCTCATCCGATTCGGTAGAGGCTTCGTCCAACTCTGCCACAGCTGAGAAGACAACAAAAGTCAGGCGTCGCCTCCTTCAGCGAAGTCCGGGATGTGCAGTCGAAGACGAGCCTTATACAAAGAGTTCGAAGCTTCCCTCAGAAACAAGTCGAGGAGCGCCTAGTCAAGAACCGAACATAACATTCGGAAGCGCATTCTAGGATCCGAAGCCTATCACGAACCCGGAACTCCCGAATCTGGCTCCAGCCAGGGCGCATGAATGCCATGCGCTGAGATGACAAAGGGCGGTACTCCCCAACCTGATGAACCCGGCAATGGCTGCTGCTCGTGGCCACGACACATCGGGCCAGGTGTGCACTCTGAAAAGGAACTTACATACGAGCAGCACGGCTTGGAACCGGTTGGAACCGAATTTGTCTCCGGCCTCTGGTGTTTCGAAGCCCTGCAGCAGCTCCACGGCCTCCCCATCTGCGTACACCCCCCGATCCATTCTGAGGAAGTTCTCCTCGGCTTTGAAGCTAGGGCCCCTGCTGCGTGTGCGCAAGCACCGAGGTCACGCTGAAAGCCGAGTAGCTATCTTCCGAGGCTCGTGGTACGCATCAATGCCGTCAGTCTTGGAGGCCGCATAGGTATCCTCGATCCTTAAGTCGGCCCCGGACAAAAGCTTTCCGCAGCAAGTCTCCACACCAAGCCACAGGCTCGACAAGAGCAGGCTGTGGCGGCGCGGCCGCATCCCCTGCGACACCAATCCGGTAACTTTGCATGCACGGTGCGTCCGCGAAGGCCGAAGCCTCAGGCCTTTGGAGGTCACGCTGAGCGTCTTGTAGTAGAGCTGCGCACTCTCTGTCTCCTGAGGCTGGAGGCTGCCGGGCAACGGGATGTACCACAGAAAGTGGGAGCCCGCCTCCATCACGGTGGGGCAGTAATTGTTCACGAAGGCATTGATCAGGGTTGTCTTGCCACATCTGGAGCCGCCAAGGACTGTGATGCTGAAAAGCTCAAGCTCCTGAGTTCAAGTGCCGAGCTGATTTCATTGGACGCGGTCGTCAACGACAAATTTTACGATACGAGCATCCATCTTCTGTCATCCAGTGGCTGAGCAGCGACATGGCGGCCAGGCGGTAGAGTACGTACATACCATATCGGTACGGAATACCATGAAGTTTCGACCGGTTACGTGACCTCTTACGGAACACTTCTTTTAAGAGAATGGCTTGCTGGGATTGCAAGAGCTCTCAGAAACGAAGAGTTGAGCAGAAGATGCACGAAGAGTCCGCAAGGTGGATGCACCGAAACCCGTTTCTGAGAGGCACGGACCGTGACGCGTACTTTGACGGTCAGCCCTTCAGCTCCGGCCCCGCAAGGAGCCAAGAGCGCTACGCTTAGAGACAAGACACGCAAGTCCGCTAGACTGGGCATCGGCTCCTTCCAGTTAGCTCAGGACACATTGGTCCTCACAGCGACAATGTATGCAAAGTGTGGAGCATCCGGCGAAAAGCATGCATGGCAATGCGTGGCGAATCCGTGGTTTGGTCCTGGAGTATCGTCTGCTGCTTGTGTTTCTGGTAGAACTCCTTCAGCTGAGAGTTGTAACTTCTACAAAGGAAGGAAGCCCAGCGGTCCTTCAGAGAGTCGCTGCTCCAGAGCTGTGGCCTCAGGGAGCCCCGAACCCAAAGCCTCCCGAGCCCTGGCTTGGGCTCAGGCTGCAGAATGATGTTCTCGACCATCTCTCGGAAAACCTTGTGCACCCGAAGGAATTGCAGTGCAGACACCTGGCACATCCGGGTAAAATCACCATGCGAATCGGTCCCAAAACACCTTCAAAAGAGGTGATCTTGCTGCACTTAATGCCACGAAGAAGAGGGCATACTTCGCGGCTACTCGTGGCGCCCGCCGAACATGAGATCGTCACTAAGCAGGCCAACTCTTGGCGGTGGCACCTCGAAGTATGGAATCCTCAGCAAGCACTCCGATGCAAACTTGATGCAGCCCGGCCCTGGACTACAATCAATCGAACTGCCTGGCATGCTGAAATTGAAGGAGAAGGAGCAGAACTCTCTTCGGCACTGTACCCGTGACGATGCCACTCCATGATATTCACCGCGCTGTCCATGCACGCTGCACGCCACCAGCTACCAGCTCTGCAAGGTACGGCACGTGCACTCTCGGCTGAGGCCGAAGCTCTTTCAGCTCGGAGAACGCTCGGGCTGCCCCGAGGTTACGCTTCGTTTGCTCCTTCCATGCTCAAGGCCGAGAAGCATGGCAGCACATGGTGCAAAGATCGGTCCCCCAGAGGGTCTTTGTCAATCCTGGGACGTGGCCGGTGCGGACGAGGCAACTTGACGTGATTATCCTACGCTGCTAGGAAGCTTCCTGCAACCTAAGTCGCTTGTTGGCGACCAAGAACAGTGTGATGCCCTTCCTTCGCACAGCACCAAAATCCTACGAGGGAATGCCTTCTCTCTGCTGCATTGCAAAATCGCAATGACTTTTCCTTCCAACTCAACTTGGGCTCTTTGGCCACAGGGTCTGGAGCAAACAGCTCATGGAGCCCTTTCGTAGAAAAAACCGCACAGGACTCAGTGATGTCTTCTGGATTCAAACTGGCACGCCTCGGCTGCAAGGCATGGCGCCCAAGCCCGGCTCGGAATCGGGATGGATTCAAGCCCGTGACTCTTGCAAGACAGACCTAGATTCTCGAACGCCACTGATCAAGGATGGCGGAGCATGTAGCAGTCGTTACAAGTCACTGCCAGCACGAGAGAAGACCAAGGATGTTGTGCGATAAATGGCGGATACAAGTGACAGGTGAGCTTCCAGGCTTTGTGCAGCTGAATTTGGTATCACGAGTGGTTCTGGTGAGTCCACCATACCCCAACCAATCACTGACAAAGGCCACAAGCAACAATATGGCACGATCCAAGAGCCGACACCAAAAGCAATCCAGAAATGGCTGTTGTTTGCGCAATTCGTAGCCAAGTTGCATGCCACGACGCCTTTCACAACTTTTGCAGAAAGGATTTTTGTCTTGATCCTTGGTCGGAAATCGCTGCAAGCAACTCGCGGGATGAATTCACGCAGACAACACACCAAAGGCACGAACCAGCATTGATGGGGAGGATCATCCAAAGGCCCACCTAGGAAAGATTGTCGAAAGCTGGTGAAGAAAGTTCGGATGCAAACCTGTCTTTGATCTGGCCCAGCTCAGTCTGGAACTGAGCACTGCCACGACACAGTTTCCAGCTTTGCGCCGGTTTAGATGACGGCATGCACGGCAGCAATCCTCTTTGTTGCCTTCATGGAATACAGGCTCATGCCACACAATGCACCAAGTGGAGCATTTTGTAGAGGACCGCATAACAACGTTCGGGAGCACGTTCCGAGACCCCGGACTGTGTGGGATGGTTAATGCATCAACGCCGATGTAGTCGTGATCCTCCTCAAGCACAGGTTAGCGCATTCATCGCTGGCTTACAGTTGCTACCTGCATCACGAACTACTTCTGCATCTTGCTGGTGAGTTCCCCTTGATGCCTGCAGGAATCTTTGCCAAGGTGAGCCCAGCACAATGAGAGCGAGCCAAACGTAGCCATGCACTGGGACTTGCTCCACATGCTCCACACTACCAGTACATCCCTGTCCTCGAACCGGCAAGGCAACTGCACGGCATCCTCCGCTGCAGAAGGAGAGCCTCGGTTCTGGCGAACACACAGAGAGACGCATAAATGCCGCAGTTGGAGGAAGCGAGACCTTGCACTGCAAAGTTCAAGCCATCGGTTGATGAACCGGATCGGCCTCGGAGCTGCTCTGCCAGAGCTCTGGCATCGTGAAGTTGTCCTTGGCGGACAAGAAGAAAGTACCGCGACACCGTGGATTTGACACCGGCACGTGCCTCCTTTCGAGGTCAGACCTGACTGAACAAATCCGATCTCGTCGGCAAAGCCCATCAGCAGTGCAACAATGCCTTCCAGAGAAGGCGCATCGACGAAAGGGTCCGGCATGAGATCCTGCAGCTACGACCAGAAAAACTATGGCAGCATGCAGTACGCTGAATGGGAAATCAATCCGAATCATCAGAAAGCAATGCAAAAGGCAGGAAATTTTTTGATTTTTGTCCTGTGCTTTCCCAGCCTTGTACATTCTAACCTGACGGTAGGTGCGCATCTCCACACAATAAGCACCCGTCGATGTTAGCTTGAGACTGCGAAGGTCATCTGGGGGCGGTTCAAACATAGCAGCTTTCACATGAGCAAGTCTGCGGCCAGGCAGCATAGCTGGAAAGAAACTCGTGGACGCGCAAGTTCTGGGTGCGCTCGAAAGCTTGGCTCGACGCCGGGTCGAGCATCGTCCATGCGTTGAAGGCTATGGTGCCTGGGATGCTTGACGACCCCGCAGAGCACTTTGTTCAGGCGACGCTAGGAGTTCTTTCTGTTTCCTTGTGTTCCAACACGGCTTCAGGGCGAAACGCCAGACCGCGTCACTCCGGGGTTAGAGGTACATGCAATCCCTGCCCAACCCGGCCAAATCGCGCACACCATCCAACATGTTCCGCAGAATTGCTTTTCCCCCGGTTTCTTTCTTGCTTGCGGGGGGCGTCTGGGGCTGGGGCTCGAAACCCTTGCCTTTGCGCAACACGCTACTCCCGAGTCCGGGTCCGGAGTCGATCTTTCTTTCGCAAGGGTAAGAGGAACCTCCACCCTCGCGCCCAGGCCCCCGCACTGTATGGGGACGAGTCGGGAAAATCGGCGGCGACAGCAAATTCGCCGGGATAACCCAGACGGCTGATAAGGGAAAAATCCCTGAGAACCACAAAAGCCGACGGATGCTACGCTACTACGCAGATTCTCCCCATCGGCTACTACAACTGTCAGGCGAAAGGGGTAAACATGGAAGTACCAGGAAATGAAAAGGATGATGAAGTGTTGTCATTCCCCACGGCACATTAAGCAATACCGAGCACCCCGGTCCGTGAGTAGTGCGGAGTCGATCTCTTCTTCCACACAAACAAGAGCCACCGCCGCGAAGCTACAGCTCCGGCGAGGCTGGAGAGGGCGAGCTCCCACCAAACCGCAGCGGCCCGCTACGTGCGCAACCGCACGAAGCCAAGAGATGAGGTGGTGTGATCAGCGTCGCCGCGATGCTGTCCGCGCCCTGTTGTCTCTGTCTCCAAGCCAGAACTGCCGCCAGGACCTGACGGACCTGCTCATGCCATTTCCCCATCTGCAAGTCACGTCTGGCTTCCAGCAAGTCCTCGTAGACGGCGTGCTGGTTTTGGCCACACAGGTCATCGTCTTGGCTCATGTCGTGTAAGCGCATCTTCGCCACACACACACACATGGTTAGGACTTTGCGGCGCTCGGCCAACGGAGCCATCGACGTGCCATAGCAGCTGCTGGCTGCAGCCGGGTTCTGCCCGAAGCCGCTGGTCCCCACAACGGTCATGGCCATGGCTGCGGCTACTTGCTGTACTACTGTCGAGCTCCATGAGCTCTGTGTTGTGCCCGGCTTCCGCACACCAGCCCTCGGTGGTCAGGAGGAATGCGAGGAAGGGAGCGTGGAGAGCCCTCAGTCAAGCGTCCGGGTTGTGAGAGACCGAGCACCTGAAGAGCAAGACGAGGGAGAAAAAACAAGACAGCTGGGCGGACGGCATCGGTCTCCCTTGAACCACTCACTGGTTGGAGCCAAACATGGCTACTCTTTCTTTCTCTCTTTCTTTCACCAGGGCTGTGGTTCTATCTATTTCTCTCTCTCTCTCTCTCTCTCTCCCCACCACAGACAACAGAACTTCCTTCCCTTGTCGGGGAACGAGTCTGACCTTCGCAAGACTCGTGCCAAGGGCCCCCTTATCCATCAGGCTTCCAGGGAAGATCCTTTCGGATTGTCAACGAAAGTCCTTGCCTGCTATAGGTAAGATCGCAACAACAGGCCGGTGGTTGTCGCTCACCCCTTCTCGACCATGTACCTGAAGGCCTCTTCCGTGACACCCTCTTAGGCAAGCTCCGAAACCCCTGCAACACCAGATCCCCCTTTTCGGCAGTAAAGAAGGACAGCCTACAATTGCTGCCACTCTCACCAATGATGAAACGGGACCGCCGAAGTAAACTTAGTACAAAGCTAATCGATGTGTGAGTTCTGGGTAACAGGAAAGGATGGGGCGTGGCAGATCCGGTCTAAAGCACATGATACCAGAAAGCTCTCTCTCTCTCTCTCTTCCGCTCTGTCTCTCTCTGTGCTGCTTCAGGACAACTTGGCTCTGGCCGGGGTACCATTGGCTCTTCTCAGTTTCGGCACCTCCGGACCAGATGCATCGATATCTGATTGGAAACTCGACACTCTAACGTACGGCCTGTGATGACTGGTGGCCGGAGGCAGCCTGAAATCATGACAAGAGTAGACTGCAGTGTCTGACTATGAGTATCCCGAACGTGCCTGCCACAAGAGGCTCAGCAGAAGCCATATCATCGAGAGCCCTGAGCTCCGGATGCCCTTCACCTCGGGGCAGCCACAACAGCGTCTGTTCTCTTTTTGCATCATCTCGAGGCCTTGACATGAGCGCTCCTTCAAGCGATGTCCCACTCCTAACTTGACCCCAACCTGCTCACATGTTTGAGCCCAGGCTGCGAGACCGATGTCTGAAACATCGGCATTGACACTGAGAAGTCAGAGAAACTCTGAGGATCACACGGCAAAGTGGTCTTGGACCTAGATTCACTGCGAACCATGGACAAGCGGCGCCACGACCTTCTTCCGAGGGCTTGACGCCGATTGCAAGCAAATGTTTGTAAACATTTCCATCGCGGTCTTCAGCGACTCCTGGCTTGACAGCATGGTTTATTTTCCGGTCTCCCTCAACGGGAAGAAGACTTGCCTCAGATACGAGCAGGGAGTACAATCACTCAGCACGCCAACTGCGACCAGGAATTTCACCATTACCCGATCCCACATCATACCTACTCACATTGGTTGACGGCCGCCCCAGCCAATAACAAATAGTGACATCGCTCGTTGACTGAAGACACTTCCGTGTACGGACTGACGCCGCGGACCATCTAGGATATCTAGGCATATCCTACTCGTCGACACCGCCACCTTTTGAGCCATCCACTCCCTTGAAGCCCAATTTTTTCCATCACTCGATCAGATTCAAGCTGTCCCGATGCATTTCTTGTTCTCGGACCTTTGACACCGTTTTGGTTTTGAATGGATCGTCCGGCACCGGAGGCGCATCGCCCTCCTTCCTTCCCCACAGCAGCGGAAACGGCTTGAGGTACACTGGTCCCGTCTCATTCATGAACTCGCCGTCGATGTACTTCAGCCCAGTATTGAGCAAGAAAGGCCCCAAGCCGTGGCCATAAAAACGCGAGTCGTGGATCTCGATTCGGTCGATGAAAATAATGCCGCACTTGCCCTTCCTGGCCGGGTAAAATTTAAAAATCGGAAGTTTGTTGCCGGCATGGTCTCGGTTTCGAAAAACGGCATTCCAATCCTTGCTTCTTCTACCGTATTCGATCCACTGGTCCGGTATCACGTTGGAAGGAGAAGTCGTTCGCACGTGGTATGTCGTCGACCGACCCCAGATCACAGTCCTCAAATTCTGCATCACCAACCACGATGCGCGAATCTGTGTACTCGTCGTGTCTGATGTATGTAGTTGAAAGAGAGTAGTACCTGGTAGCTCTTTTATGTAGTTGGAGATCATCTCGAGGAATGACAGATAGAGTACAGTAGTCCTTGTACAAGCGTAAGAAAATGTGTATATAAAAACACACATACACCAAAAAAATGTTTTGCAATTTTCTTTTCAGAAGGCAAAGGAATAGTGTAATATGGACGGAACTGTGCTGTGGACGGAATAAACTATTGTTCTATGGAAGACCCACACGACTTGACTGAAGTAGACCTTGTCATGCAGTCCTCGGATGTGAGCCTTGACCCCAAGACCCTGAACCCTAAATCCTCCTGGGGAAATCCATAAATGAAAACTGAATAGGAGACAAACAGCTGCTGGCCCGTCTCTCTTCTACGACTTTAGAGTTCTTGCAGTTTCTTGATCTACTCCTGCTTGTGCTTTCGAACGCTGACAACTTCTGTCGTCGTCGTCGCTGCTGTCGTGGCCCTGCTCGTTTAGATACATGTCATCGAAGTTAAGGACGTATTCTTCCGATGTCTTGACGTCATCCCTAGCCGAGCACCATGCACTACATGCCCAACCTTTTCGTGCACTTGTTTTCGCGTTTCATTGTGTCCTCTTGTTCTTTCCTGGTGAAGCAGGCTTACACACTTCGGTAAACTTGGCCACGGAGGGCCTCCACGGTGGCATCAAAGACCAGCAGGAAACCCATCCTGATCTGACAAGCTGTGAGTTTTTTTGCGTTGTCGGCCGCCGCTCTTTATCGACAAGATACGCCCTTCACATACGACACCTGAAAAGCCAAAGGCGAGAAAGCAAAGCGGGCTCACAGAGGAGATTGTCAGAATGGAAGTTGCCAGTCTAGCCTTCAAAAAGCCAAACCCTCTGGTTCACGCTGCTCATCGCCTCTCGAAGCGTAGATGTAAGATAGCTCAGTCACGGGCCGGCATCGGGTCAGAGGCTCGTACCTGAGGTGGCAATGGAAACAAAGGCGTCTCACAGTGCAGAATCTCCGAGAAACCAGCTTCAGCTCTGTCAGCGCCTGGATCGGCACTCAGTGCATCCGTTCGGCCAAGTGCGTTCGGGGGGGGAAAAGGGGGGGGGGGGCGCCTCGTACTCGGCAAACGGACCAAAGTACTGCGGCGTAACCTGGACACGGCCAAAAACGGTCGTTTGTTGGCTGAGATCATAAAGCACTGAGGAAAAAGCAACAGGCTCCGCCGGAGGTGGTTTCACCTGCAGCTAACTGGGTCGTCACGAAGCACGCCCCAACTCACACACACGAGAATGCAACATGCGCACGCACCTCTAGGAGCTCATTGATATCTTGCTTCTGTCCATATCTGAGCAGGCACTCCCATTTCGTAAGGGCGTGTCGTTGAGGCTTACTCAGTAGGGCTCCAACATGTCTACGCCACCCGTCCTGATTGGGGCATACGTGTCTTCCAACCTGTCATGCGGCATGCCCAGACATGCTTGAAGTGTTTACGCAAATGCAACCAGCAAAGCGGACTCGACGAGGGCAGTCACCATCTCGTCCTCGTTCAGAGGATTGGGAATTTTCATCGTCCTGATCAGCAGAGATCTCTTATCAGCGAGACCCTGTGAGCCATGTCTCATGCGCCGGGTCCTGTAGTACAGCGTCGGATCAAGAGTAGGAGTGTAATTCTTAGTGGACCAAGGTCATGCTGAGTGTATCGCTCAACAGAAATCGGTGGCAAAGGTATGTCTGAAATGCACGTGTCCCAGCATGTCAACAAAGCCAACGTAGCTAATCAGCCTTACCAAATGCCTCTGCTGGGGAGTTTGCAATAGACACTGCATTGTTGAGCCACGCGTTGATCAAGCCTGAGCCAGACTATGTGATTGATTCCTGTGCAACACAGCATGCTCCACCGACAAGGCGACATTCCTCCTAACGTCCTGCAATAAGACCCTCGTCTCCGCAACACTGCCATCAAGAGCTGTTTAGAGGTGGCAAAGGCGCTGACTGGTCTTCCCGCTGTCCGCATCACCAATCCTTGCTGTCGGCAATAGGCACACAATTTTGAGACATACTTGGAGTTCCGACAAACACCTGTGCAGTGCAGCTGTACATGCCCGCGGCATTTCCTGTTACAACATGTCTCCAGTCAGCTTGGCCGAATTCCAAGACCTTGCCTTCCATTTCAGGCATGCATGTCCCCGGGGCACTGGCACGGTAATGCGAAGGAACGGAATCACGTTGTCTGGAACTGCAGAAGACATTGCCGACGCTGCAGGTAAAGAAGCACCAAAGTTGCTCTCTCTGTGATCTAGACTCAAGACACTAGATGCAAACCAAAATCAGGCAGCGACTCGGAGGCTTCTTTGCCATGGCGACACGGAAGATGTTTGCGATTTGCTGTTTGGTGAGCTGTGGCTTGGCATGTTACAACGCCTGCGCCGATGGCTTTTTCGCTTTCAGGAGCTTCAAGCTACACACCGAAGCAAACTGGAGTGCTCTGCCCATGATCCTGGTACCGTTCCGATCTCCCAGATGACAGCAAGCCACGAGCAATGGGTTCGCCGGCACTCGGATGGAATGCGAGGCGCTGATACCTACTACAGACATGCAAAGGCCTTGCTTCCGGTGTTTCTGTTTTGCCCATGTGTGCCACTTCGCTGCCTTCTGCATTCTGCAGAGGAACTTTGTGACTTCGTTCCGGGCTATGTCGAACAGGGGTGGGGCCGAAAGGAAACATCCTAGAAGCTTGAGAAATGCCTTGCCTTGTGCATCCAACTTAAAACGAATTTCGGAATCTAAGACCATGTCCTCAAGCTGATCTGAAGCTCTTCAAGCTTCCGCAGCATGCGAAGAAGAGTGAGACCTGAGAGACCCATGAGATTTCGAGATAACACGGGGTCCTTGTTTGAAGCCTATGGCATTTCTGCCACCGAGGGTGGTTGAGCTCTGGGCTTGGCCAAACCTTTCCGTTGATGGCATAGATGCTGGAGTAGGCCTGAACATTTAGCACATCTTGTAAGGCTCAACAGTCGTCTTACCGTGGCCTTGATCTGCAGTTCTTTCTCTGCACTGGCATTGTAGCTCGGGAACAGACCCTCCTCCTCGCAGCAGTGAGTGATCACACCCGAACGACCTATGGAAAGTCATCTACCCCTACTAGAATGTGGCCTGGATGTTCAGGATGACGACTCCAAGAACACCTTCTTGAGGCACAACTTCAACGCCCAACAGCTTGTCGCCCTTCTTCTTCTTCAAAGCGATGGATAGGTACCTCGGGATTTCTGAAGAACAAGCCTTACGCCCTATGTGACGTCTGGAACTCTTGAGGGCAGCGCGTCGGGCGCTCCAGGGTTATGCTTATCCTCCCCGCTTTGTGAAATTTATCCAGAAGCTCCTGCCGAGAAAAATCACAGTGATGACAACTGATTACACTGCTACACTCGCCACGCCCAGTGACAGATAGCCGATCACACACACCCAAACAGCCACTACGTCCAACTTGCAACCAAGCCCGGGCGTCACATGTGTATTTCTCTGCCAGTCATGCCAATCTTAGTTCAAGAAGCCGTGTCGTAGCGATTCCTTCGCAGAAGTCGGACAGGCATGCAACGGCGAAAGAAGAACTGCGCACATCAAACAGTGTGGTGGCCCCTGGTACCAGTCATTCCCAGCTTCACGTTCGACACACACACACATGCATTCAGTGTAATTCGGAGCACAGACCTTGGAACAGATAACATAAAATCCGGCTGCCTGAGCGGAACCCGTCTCATCATTGATGCTCACGACGCGATCCATCGGCTGGATCACCTGGTTGCTGATATCGAGGCAGCTAATTGCCATACATGGAGAGATGCGACTGAGATCCCCTTGACCTAGGGCTTCGGCGGTGTCTGCAGAGGCTTGCGCCTTGTTCCACTGCGAGACTGTCTCAGAACCAACGTCTTCGATAACCAGCAGGCTGTCCACCTTACACGAGAGAGAGAGAGAGAGCCTCTGCTCGCTTCTGCAACTTCGAGATGGCAAAAAAGCGCTACTGGGTTACTGGTAGTTGGCTTTCGGCTGCTTTCGGCTTTTCCTAGCATGTTTCACTTTCGAATTGTCTAGACAGCCAACCTGTTGCTCTGCAAGCTCCAAGCCCTTAATACTGTAATTTGCGGCACAGGCACGTGATTGAATCGGATGCCTGCCAAGCCGGCAGGCTTGTCAAAGGAAACTGTGTACACGTTCTTGTTCACCTCGTTGACCTGACAAGTCGGGTGGTCGCTACACAAGAGAGCTTCAGAGATATTCGTGCACGCGGCTGTAGCTGTGAAGCTGTGCGGAGTTTCCACCGGTCCTTCCAGAGTTTTCTGAGGTCACGGTCCCCAAAAACACATGCCCGCATCATCTGGCAACACACTATTTGTCTCCTGCAGCTGAAGGCGGAGCCTCGGCTGGACATGACTCGAAAACTCCAGGTGTGAAAGGAGCTACAGTAAGCCAGTCACCTGAACGTCCATCTTCGTCTCGAACTCATCTGCATCTGCCTGCGAAGGGGCTCAGTCCGTAGTGTCAGCCCAGGCTCTGAACACGGCTCTGAGCACTCTGGGCCGCGGGCATCACTGCACAGGCAGGAAAACATGGCTTCGAGCTGCAACCTTCACAGGAACTCTTCTCTTCTCGAAGGCTTCGTCTAGACTCTAAGCCTTGAGATGCGCGGCCTCTTAGAGGATGTTCAGCTTCAACCAAGCACAACCATGGCCGTGTCAAATTGCAGAGGACAGCCACACCACTTGTTGCGATACTGAGTCTGTCTCCCACTACACTTCTCCCTGAATTCTGATGCCAACACCTCTAGAATGTCTCCTGTCACTTCGAACTCCTCCACACAGGCGAGCCATACGGCGGGCGGCAGCGACAAGATTCTGCACGGGCAGAATACAAGGAGAAGCGGTGATTGGGCCTGTGTACATGCTGAGAGTTCAGACCAACCGTGCAGTGCAAAAGCAAAAGCAGGCTTCAATTGCGCTTCGCGGCAGATGAGCTTGTGAGTCATCAAGGCATTACGGACTTATTTTGACTCGAAGGGCAAGACAGAAGGAGAGGGATAGACAGAGCCCAGGCAAAAGCCCCTGGAGTTCGGGCTGGTGCTGGGGACGTTTCGATTGCGTCTTTTGCTCTGCTCGGATTGCTCCATCACGTGAGGTGAAAGCACAGAAGCACACCGAAGATATTCGAGATAATTACACAGGATTTTCAGATGCATCAGGGGAAGAAAGGTATCCAAACTGGGCTGACGATGAGGGAACGAGAGCAAAACAGCTTTAGCTGGCCCGCTGCACAAGTCCGCGACTGATCGGCCAGACTCACGTGTACCACCGTCGATGTGAAGTGTCGGCTGTGTCCTGGAGTCCCGAGCTTTGAGTTCAGGAGCATGCTACGAGTGGAATCACCGCATGTGCAATTGGTAGCCTCAGATGCCTCAGCACATCCGGGCTTTAAGCTGACTTGCATACAGCGGTATGCAGGCCTTGGGAACTCGGCGCAGACCTCAGAACCAGATGAACGAGCCACAGCATGAAAAGAACCTCGCGACGAGCAAGGCGCCAACATCATTTCACCTCCGCACGCGTGAGAGGAAGGATTGTCGAGCAGCTCCGGCTCCTGCCCAGCCAGCCCTCCTGGACTCTCCCGGTTCTTTCTGCAGGCAGCGGGGGCTGTAAGGCCTTGCTCCACATCCGTGGACTCGGAGACCTTCACAATGTGACAACTTAACGTTGGACAAGTCCTTCCCGAAAGTTTCGACAGAACGGAAGCAGACTTCGTGACGCAGCGCTCTCTCGCAAAACGACTGCCTCCAGCAGCATCTCGGCCTTCTCGCCCTTATGCTGCGCAACCGCAAATCCGACCTGGTCGGAAGAGTGTCTTTGCCAAGTCTGAGGCAGGGTCACAACAGTGGACATGAAGTAAAACTCGACAAGCAAGACGGTCCGGCACGCGATCTTTGCTTTTCCTTCTCGGCTGTTCTGCCGGAGTATGCCCCTCTCGGATCTCGAATGCGACAGCAGTGCAGGAATCCCTTCGAGAATTATGTTCTCTTTGCCAATCAGGTTTGATCGTCGCAACCGATTCCGAAGCAGTAAACTTTGGAGGGGAGTTCGGCATGCCATGACACCACACAATGTCCGGAACACCTATGCTTGAGAGAGCACTCTCTCATGCATCCGCCGCAAAAAGCCTTTGCTTCCAGGCGGCCTCTTACACGCTGCCTTTGGCGTGTCTCTCGTTTGCATGCGAGCAGCAAAAACACTGCTTGATCTTCGTAAGGTTTGTGCTCTCTGCTCGGATTACACAGACTGAGACATGTGGTTTGCTTTTCGGTTTCGCGGGATTCTCAACCGGGATTAACGAAGCCGCTTAGCTGCAGACCCTTAACATCTTCTTGACTAAAAGGGGCATTGCTTCCCCTGTCTTCGTATGATACCAATTAGGAAGGTGTCTGCGCGAGCAACCAAACCTGACGGACCTCTGGAACAGCATGGAACTGCAGCGTGTCGCGGCTGACAGTGCTCAGCTTGATTCCCACATGCAGTTCAGTGACTTTACAAAGTTGTCTCTGTACCTCAAGATGTCTGCAGGAAAAACGACCCTCCTTGCCACATCTGTGCTTGACTCGTGCAACAATACGATATGTCCGTCTTTATTGCGGCCCACATGCATCATCCCCACCATTGACCTCTCTTCCAGCTTCAGGCGCTTCACACGACATGGGTGGTGCCAGGCTGACATTAAACCTTTCTCGTTTGGCCATGATTGGATCCCGGACATCATGCTTGAAAAGATGATCAGCAGAACCATCAAAAGCTGCCAGCACCTGTCCGCGAGTTTCGGGAGCACAGTGCAATCAAAGCTCGAGCTTTCCATGACCAGCATCCACATCAGCTGAGCCTCTGGTCCCAGCCCAGCAGGAAGAGTCCTGCAAATCCTGGTGCCCAGCCGACCATGGCAGCAACCTGTTCTGTGCACGCACATGAGAGAGCTGAGCGCGACGGCTACGATGCTCCCACACCTGACTGGCTCCGTTCAGGATATTGCAAAGTCCTTGGAAAGGGAGAACAGGCTGGCAGCAGTCTGGCATTCCAGGAGCACACATCCATTCAGCAGCTTTGACATTAACATCGATCTGGCTCGTGAATCTCTCGTCATTCAGCATCAGCATACCAGGACATGATATCCAAGCAGCCCAGGTGAGTGACCACACAGCCTGAAAAGCAGCTTGTGCACGAGGACTACCTGACTACCTCCTCACTGGGCTCATGTCCACAGCCTCGCGCCTCCAGCCGCAGACCCCAATATGATGGCCACAGCTGCGAAATGCGAGGGCCGCATTGGAAGCTTTGCATGGAGCTGGAAGACCTGGCTTCTCCGTACATCCAACATCAGACACTGAAAAAGCATTTCAAAAACAAACCACACCCAGCCTTCACGCGAACCTTGAGGAGCCGATCTGACATCCTGGAGGCCACCACTTCCAAAGCAGGCCCTCTTCGGTCACAAAGCCATGCCTACCTGGATTGTGCGCCTTTTATGAGGTTCTCATGCATTCGACTCTGCGGAGCTCTGACTCTGTCCAGGAGGTGGAGCTGCGGGAGGGCTCGGCTTCGAGATCACCGGAAGCGCCTGCCATCGCGAATACAAGCGCTGCCCACTGAGAATGTTCCAGGCTTGGCATTTTTCTGTGCTCCCTGCGCCTCTGGTCACAGCATCATCGAAGACCACTGATTCACGTGGGGACGGGAGCATCAAAGGCTGCCGATGGCGCCAGGCACGCTCCTGGCTGGGAACCACACGGAGCCTCCAAACTCAAGCGCTCGCGGTCGTCGCCTCAGCGTGGCGCAAAGGCGCCACCATTGACTCGAGGTAGATCGGGTAGATGGCGATCACGGATAAGCCCACGCCTACTCGTGCAGCATCTCCAGACCTGAGAGCTCTGGGAGACACCTCTTCTCGGCTTCTAAGGGCTTGAAGGCTTGAAGTGTCAATCTGAGTAGCACATCCGGAGGAAGATTGTTCCTTAGATCACTGCGACCAGGAAGACACTGAGGAGAGGCCTGCCCTGGCTGAAGCTGCAGGACGTGCAGCAGTGGCGATGTCAGACAAGCTTCAGAATGTTCGACGAAACTCCATCACCATACAAACTCAATCCCATAAGGCAGAGCGTGGTGAAGAGGAAAAAGACAAAGCCAAAGCCTGACAACTTGTGAAGCTCGAGTTTAGGCATGCTTGCCTTGCCAGTGCCTTCCCCCATGCCATTTCGCATCATGCTTGCACCCATAGGCACCAAGAAGCTAATAGCCAGGCAGATACTGAATCGCCGGACGCTGCGGTCTTCCAGCACCTCGTACATTGGCATGGTACACATCCTTAGAGTTGGCTGGTCCCCCCACAGGCCTTACCAACCTGGCTTACACCAGTGCACTTCGACCAAGAGGCTGGAAGATCATGGACTGCATCAATGCACTGCCCATCGTGATGATACCAGGACCTTGCAAATAGCATCAATAGCAGGTCTGCCTCATCAGCTTCAGCCTTTACTCCCTTTCTTGCTGCTAGAGCGCCAGCACCGAGCCAACAAAAGGAGTGGTGCGACGTCACTTCTGACCTTCAACTCTGCAAGGTGTGACCTACCATGCCAAGCATTGAGCTGTTCCATGGCACAACAGCCAAAACTAACCCGCGAAATTGAATCTGCAAAGAACATTGTTATTAAGGAGTTGGCAGGTCTCCACGCATTTTGTTCTGGCTTCGCATGAAGATGCTGGCATCATGACAGTTGTCAGGCGCGGCTGTTGATTTGCCGAGAGGCTGGAATGTAAAGAGAGAGGTGATCAGGAGAACCAGATAGACATTGGCCTGGGACTCCCGAAAGCAACCGACTTGACAGCACACTGAGACCTATGAAGAGAATCTTGCAGCCAGTCCTCAAAATGCAAACAAGATGCGGCCACACTCAAGGTGGAGCTGAAAGCAAGATACTCTGGATCCATCAAACAAAGTGGGATGACCTGTGCAACGCATGCTCGGTGCAAATTTTTGCATGGGAGGGAGACTTGACCCGTCTGCCAGTGCTCCATAGGGCGACGAGGCACTAGTAGCGTTCCAACGAAAACAGAAGCTTTTTTCTTGACCGTTGACGGCAAGCCGACAAACTCGGCAACGGGATCAAAAGCATCAGCGATCACCACAAAGTAGCCTCCGAGGCCCGGCTACAGAGTGCGGTCAGAGCCATGTCCGGGTCCGGGCACTTTCATGAGCTGAATCATCACCAAGAAACCCAGCAAGGCCAGCCCAACGGAGCACCAAATGCTGCAATCAAATGCCTGTGGGTGCACGCGCATGTGACATCATGGTATGGAAACATGAGGATCTCGGCTAAGCCACCCAACGAAGCAGTCGAGCCCACTTGCCAGGAAGACGTCCCATCAAGCCACCCAAGTCAAAGACGTGCTGGCGCTCCTTGGCACAGAGGCAGCCCCCTACCCGGTTCCAAGTAAATGTTGGCTGATCACATCAATAACTCGACAAGAATCGGCTGCAGCCACGAGGATGATGTTCGTCACGCCATTCAAGACCAAGACAAGCAGAGTCACACCTGCGTCACAGACAGGCTCAGCAATGTGCCGTTTACATTCTGGCAATGTGCTCCTGCTGCTACAAGAAGCGATGATCCAGCAGCTGCCCAAGGGAGACTGAGCATTCCAGAACCCAAACCTCTGTGCGTGGCGAGAAAGCTTTTGCCTGTAGATGGTTACATCACAGTCAGGTGCTTCACTGGCAGTGCTCGGAAAGGAGCTCGCATTGATCAAGTTCAATGTCATGGCCTCATGGTGAGGGACGACCCTGGGACTCAGAACCGCTCTGGACTTCTCCCTGCACTCTGCAGACCAGCAGCAGGTGCTGAGACCTTGCATGGCTGCGTGCCCGACTCCTCGTGCTCGAGGAGCGGTGCCGAGAGCTCACCAAAGCCGCCTTTCTCAGCAGCCGTTTCCATGAAAGGCTACGGAAGTCCACCGGAGCCGAGTGCCCGCCAAGCCACTTGGCAACGACTGGCATCCTCTCGAAATCGACCCCAAGGACTCCTGGCGACCAGGCAACCGTCGTGTCGCAAAGCGCAGCACGTCGGAGGGTCCTCACAAGAATCCTCCTTCCAAGACAGTGTGAAGGATTGCGGGGAGCCCTCGTAACCTGAAGAACCCAGGTTACGAAACGAATTGCTGGGCAGATCGCCTGCAGCTCACCGAACCCGTGAGCCAAGTTGCGAGAGGCTCCCATCGCCAGAAAGTGCCCCCAGACTCGAGCACACAGCTGCAGTCGGGCATTTGTTCTCAGCGTCAGCCGGCATCTGAAATGCAACGGAACCGATCTATTGAATCTATTGCATAGCTATGTAGTTGATGCTCTGTGGCCTGCCACACGGGCTGCCAGCAATCCCTCCCATTCATCAGTGGAACAAAGTGAAAGTTTCTACGGCTTCCCTCACCTAGGCAAGACATGTCCGTTGAAGCTGCCAGGCTCCACACACGGCTGTTCTCGTGATCGTAGACCGTGAAATATTTCCTCGGCACAAGAGCTCATGATATCCATACCGCTCACGAGGCAAGAAGGTTTTCGTCCGGGCCGCTGAAGAAACGGGATCCCGAAAACGAAGAGTGGCCCCTGCAAGGTCTGCAAAACAGAGCTTCTGGCGAGAAGGTTCCTCGCATGTCCGGCTTATGTGTTGCCTTGGGTGGAGGAACGTCCAGATTCATCAAGGACAGGTTGCAGCCACCGAAGGATCCCTGCATGCTGCCAGGAGCTCGTCCCAACATGCGGACTGGAAGAGCAACTTGAGCACAAGCGGCTAGCCCTTCATCAAACAATCTAACCGTCGTGACACAGGCCTCGGATGTGTAGTCCTTCGGCGACAGGGAAAGAATTTTGGGCTTGCCATTGGGACCACCTGACAGTCCCAGCAGCTGCAAATCACCACCGAAGACACGGACACGAAGTCATGCCAGCACGGCGGACAGCGAAGCCCAGGTGCGGCAAAGAATCCTTGGAACACCATCGAATGAAAGCCTCCCTGTGCTCAGCTTTGCAACTGTCTCACAGCTTTCCTTTGATTCACATTGCTTGATAAACTGAGGTCTCTGCCAGGTTTGAGCAGTCATGTCCCGAACCCAGAAGCCTTTCAAAAGCGGCTTGCAAGCCCATTCAAGTTTAAACATACGTGGTGGTGGTGGTGGTGGTGGTGGTGGTGGTGGTGGTGGTGGTGGTGGTCGGGTGGGGTGGTGGGTACCGACATGCCGGGGAATGGGATGACCCATACCCGCAAAACTAGTCATCCTGCAGTATACCTGGATTGTCTGGCATAAGTCAGAGGCATCATGATAAGACCATCGTTGCCTTGCTGCATATTGCGAGATATCAGAAAATAGACAAGCAAAAATTACGTGTGTGCGTGTGTGTGAGGTTCGCATGCTGATGCATCGAAGCCAAGCAGCCCCTCCAGCCGGGCAATGATGTCTGATGGACCTGGTGTCGCAGCTTCCCATCCCTGTGCTGTCCACAGCTCGCTACACTGAGAACATCCGAACCTCCTCTCAAGTCTGGTATGTCAGGGTATCCACTTGAGGGCCGCGAGCCTGCAAGTTCGGAGGTGCCGGTGTCCACTGCCACTCGGCAACCCTGACAAAGCTTCCTGAGTGCAAGCTGCCACAGTCGATCGAAATTCATATTAAACTAGGCACTGACTCAAAAGCCATAATCAGCTTGGATGCTGAGCTTTATCTCCGAGATAAATATCCTGGATCTCAACCTGCGCGGATCAAACAATCGCCGCACTCTGTAGCTCGACGCCAAAACTGGACGACTCTTCTTTTCCGTCGTGTGGTATGATGCGCTGCAGCGCCGTTCGGCATGCAGGCGCAGTCTCGGCAGCCGGCGCCGGGTGCGCACTTTCAGCACCGCCCGGCGCACCCTGCCCCACAACGCGCCGGCTCAGGAGACCAAGCAGTAGAACACGCCGTCAGATCATCTGCCGCCGCGTCCACCGCGTAGAAGAGGTCGTCGACCGACTTCGCCAGGATGTGCATGATCTCGGACGCCGGCGTCTGCACTCGGGTCCATCCCTCTCGCCGTGCCCGGCTGAAATCGTCGCGGGACACTGCATCGTTTTTCATTCATTCAAGCGCACTAGT